CGTCCGTCGAGAGCTGTGTCGGAAGTTGGTGCTTGATAGGAACAGATGATGGCCACGTCTCAACATAACTCAACGACCAATATAAGGAAAAGGACACTCGTAAGCACTCATCCATTTACTGCATTGAGAATGTCACCTCGATTGGTAATGAAACGTTTGCAATACAATTGCCCAGCTCGACAAACAGCTGAACATCAGGTTATACCAACCGAGCCACAAAAACAACAATCAATGCCGTTGTTTACAAAACTGTCATATATATATATATATATACATATATATATATCAAACTTACCGATCAGACGCGGAGCAGATGTGAAGTCCCTCATGGGTACCGGAATATGGTTCACAATATAGTCACACACTACATCGATATTATACTTTAACTGCGCCGAGATGGGTACAACAGGAGCACCTTCAGCTACGGTACCCTTAATGAAATGTAAAATCTGAAATGGACAAAGAAAACAGTTTTTGACCTTTTCCAAGACTGGCATTGTTGGTGCATCTAGTAAGAAAGTGAATGATGTCTCTCACCTGTTCATACTGCTCGCGAGCCTGACTCTCTTTGATAAGATCAATTTTATTCTGAAGTATGATGATGTACTTCAATCGCATAATTTCGACGGCTGCCAGATGCTCACTCGTCTGTGGTTGAGGACACGGTTCGTTACTGGCGATCAACAGCAACGCAGCATCCATCACAGCTGCTCCGTTCAACATGGTAGCCATGAGGATATCGTGTCCAGGGCAGTCAACGAACGAAACGTGCCTATAAAAAAGAAAAGACGGGTTTGTTTCCACATACAGCACTTTGAAGTAATAAACACAGTTAACTCCATTTACAGCATCGATGGGATCATGCGGCGACGCTCGCGGGGTTCCATGGGGATTTGTGCTTGGTGCGCATATCATATATCATGGAATTCGAGGTACAGTGCAGACTGATAAGCCCCTGGATGTTAATTCCATTCAGTACAGTTGGAATGATGTCGTGAAAAAGCATCAATTACTTCAAAACTGTAAAACCAAGCGGAACGGAGAACATCGCCTGCATGGTGTTGCAAACAAGTTTTCCAAGGATACCTATAAATCCCTATAGACGGTTTACCTCGAGGAATGGACGTTCTTACTGCTAACGTGACCGAACTAAACACAAATAAATTTTCCCCGCAAAACACTTGTGTTCATCAAGATTCAATGATGTTTACAAATATTTGGTTTATTTATTTTACTTGTGAGGATAATGCCAGAAGAGAGCACAGATTGGTACGTGCTTAGTCCGGGTGGAGTGGGATCACTTTTGTACTAAGGGCATGTGCAGTTGTACTTGCAGGTGACTTCAACGCGCACGTTGGAAACCTGAGCGCATCAGAACCTTGCCTAGGCGGTAGTTGTGCTCTGCTCTGCCAGCGAACAGATAATGGTGATCGACTTCTTCAGTTCTGCGTTGACCATCATCTGTTCCTATCAAGCACCAACTTCCGACACAGCTCTCGACGGACGCCAACGTGGCGCTCCAGTTCAACTGGTACGCTAACTGAAATGGATCACATAGCAGTAAGTTACCGTTGGCTTGGCTCAGTGCAAAATTGCAGGTTCCATTGAACCACCTGCGTTGAGTCTGACCGCGCATTGGTTTTGATGCAGTTCACTCTCCGATTGACCGGTGGGCAACAAAACCAGCAAGCTCGGATAGCTCATCATCAACTATCTTTTCCAGCAGTTCATGCACTCTACGAGTCAGAGATAGTGCGTAAGCTAAGTGCGCTTCAGCGTGATGTTGTAGACGAGCAGTGGGATCAGATTAGGCGAGCAATGCATTCCGCAGCAAATGTTGCTTATGGGTCTGAGCCTCAAAACCGTCGGAGGCATTGGATATCTCAGGAGTCAGTACCCCTGATGGAGCAAAAACGGCAAGTCCCGACCTGCCAAGATCAAAACAGAGTTAGGTGGCATCTATAACGTCAGTTCACGAAGATTCTCAAGAAGGACCGTGAGAACTGGTGGACAACAATAGCTAGTGAAATGGAAGTAGCAGCTGCTTCAGGGAATAGTCAAAGACTGTTCTGACTGATACGCAATACGGGAGGTCGGCGAACCCCAGTTAGTGAAACAGTCTGCGATAAGATAGGACAAGCTGTTCACAAAAGGGATCAACGACTTGATCCCTGGGAAGAATACTTCAGCGAACAGTTCAGCTGGCCTAGTGCTGACCAGGCTGCTTCATCTCCGACTGAAGCTCCGTGGGCAGTGTCATGCGATCCTCCAACAGAAGCAGAAGTTCAGTCTTGCACTCAAGTTCTGAAGCGAGGGAAGGCAGCAGGACCGGATGAGCTCCCTTCCACTCTTTTCATGATGCAGGGTGATAACCTCGTATGCCCTATTACTACCCTACTGCGCAACATTTGGATGCAAGAGCACATTCCTTCATCTTGGGATGAATCACTGATCGTTCCCGTTTTCAAGAAGGGATCTCGAAACGATTGAGAAAACCACCGCGGGATAAGTTTGATCCCGATCGTCACCAAAGTGCTAGCTTCCGTGATACTTCGACGTCTAACTCCTTCAAGAGACATCCATGAACAGCAAACCGGATTCTGGCCTGGCCGTGGATGTGTTGATCAATTTTTTTCCGTTGCGTCAGGTCCTTGAGCTGCGTCACACCCACCGTCGACCAACGATCGCAGTGTTCCTTGATCTGAAAGAGCCTTCAACTCAGTTGACCGCGAAGCTCTGATGGATTCCCTTCTTCGAAAAGGAATGCCCCAGAAATACGTTAAATTACTGAGGTCACTGTACTCACATACCTCCGGTCGTGTAGGGGTTTACAACGGACTAAGCGGGCTGTTGGTCACCAGGAGTGGCGTTCGTCAAGGGTGCCCTCTCTCGCCGTTCCCTGTTCAATTTCGTCGAAATACTGGAGAGCGCACTAAGGGGACTCCAAAACGTAGGTATTGAATGGACAGCTGGAGAAAAACTGTGCGAGTACTGTGGAGTACGCCGAGGACATCGTCCGTTTATTCAAATGCACGGAGGACGTGCAAAGCACACTTGATGGACTAACAAGTGCTGTTGCCACATTCGGTAAGTGATTCGCACCTTCAAAGTGCAAGGTGATGCTGCAAGACTGGGTCTCGCCGAGTCCCGCTCTGACACTAAATGGCCAGGATTTAGGTGTAGTGGATCACTTTTTCTTGTTAGGTAGCTTCGTGACCAATGACGGTAGCGCAGAAAGAGAGATAACCACCTGCATTTCGAAGGCTCGAGCAGCATACGCAGGACTGAAACACCTTTGGCGTAGACGCGACGTTTTACTGAAGCTGAAAGGTCGTGTATATTGGGCTAGTGTTCGTTCAGTTCTGGTTTATGGCTGAGACCCTGAATTTGCGAGTAGAAGATATCCGTCGACTAGAAGTTTTCGGTTATCGGTGTTTACGCAGTTTAGTCAACGTGGGATAGAGTGAGCGGGATAGTAGTCTGGAGGTAAGCCGTCGTATGTGTGGGAGTCTACCAGGTATAAACCTGCTAGCACACCAAATTCAGACTAGTTGGGCTTTGCTGATTGGAACACGTATTGCGTATGCTCAGTAGTCGTCTCCACATCGCGCTTTATTCGCTGTGGCCGCTCCGGGCTGGAGGAAACCACGTGGAAGTCAACAGATGATGTGGAAACAAGGCAGGAAAGAATGCACAGAGCCATTAGGTAGAGTAGGTGTCTCCCGCCTTCCCGGTTGGGGTCCGAAATACTGGACCACCAGTTGATTGTAAGCATTGAAGTATATGGCTGCAAACCGGGGTATTGTCGTTGTTGTTGTCGTTTCTTATCAATTCAGAATGCTTGAAACTGTGTGTATGCAGAGTTCGATTGCTTACTTTGTGTTGATCATAGTCGCTCTTCTTCTCTGTCCCTCCAAATAGATCGAATCCGTGTCCATCCTAAATATTACCATTAACCTTGCATGCATTGCGAGTTTGGCAGCGATTAGTGAAGTTCGCCTCACTGTATTTTGCTGTAGGATGATGATAATGATGACCCATGCTTTAAAAGTAGATCGGTAAGACTAGGCTGAAGTTGATTACTTCAACCCAATTGGTTGCGTGACCATTGACATTAGCAGAAAGGAGGTAAGCGCACGCAGGTATTTGTGTAGTTCGTCGCATATGAAATGAAGCAAGTCAGCATATGTTTGAGAACGTTTTATTAAAAAATTCGTTGTCACGCCGCATTGGATTCATTGAATTTCGTTTATTAAAGCTCTTGTTTCGCGTACCTTACGGTGATCTACCGCACCGCACCTTGGAGAAAATCACATTTAGGTCTGTAGATGAAGGGACGAAAGGTCAATATCCGGGGCTATAACCGGGTCGTTGAATCACTGGAGAGTTGGCTGAAAAATTTTATTCCGCACCAACCAAGAAGAAGCGTACGAACCACGCCTTAGTTGTGGGAGTGTTCACCCGCTCAATTTGGCATCTAGGTGTATTGAGCACCTCGGACGTTTGACGTCATCCAATGGGCTTATGATCCGATATACCAGACACCGCCCCCCCTGCCCAGTGGATTTGGGTTTTCACTCATCGCCCTGAGTGGCGTTGCGTCTCAGACCAACAACACTAATTTTGACTCAATCCTATAAACATGCTTCACATAGATTCTTCTATTCATTTCACCAAACACCCCGGAGACACGAATTTCGCTTTCATCATTATTGCATACCTCGTATTACATCTTACAACTGATTGAGTGATAATGTAAAATACTTCTTCCGTCTTCATCCTAAAATTTCGCGGTTGTACGACAATTTTTCGTTTATTTGACTTGTCTGTCTATTCTTTGTAGTTATCCGGTCGTTTGATGTGAACAAACCCGGTTGTGAAGTTGACGACTTGCGGGGAGGAGTCGCGGGTGGAAGCATACTTCGTGGTGTTCTGAAGGTACATTGTCACAGTTTTGCTATTTCAGGTTTCATTTGATTGTTTGATGAGTTGACGTAGCACTGGTAAACATTCCACATTTGTTTGCTTTCCGGACAATCACTGATTATATCGGTTGTGCTTATTTCTGACTTAGGCAGTTTGAGGTGCATTATTTACATATTCAGTACATTCTGAGTCACGTTACAACTCCGTCGAAAGTCTTATATACCTGTTCTGGTGATCTAGAATGAGCATATTTTTCTACCACAAAAATTAACTGTGAGAGACCTGATCTTGATGAACCTTAACCTTGGAGTAAAGCATGCTGCGTGAGTAATATTAAAGGAGTTGCATTATAAGTATAGAAGGTAAGATTCATACATAGTCTTTGAACAGAGTGCTCTCATTCTATATCGCCTGCTTGCCCAGCTTGGCAATTTGTTTGCAAATCACGGCAACAAGCGCGGCGAACAGACAGAATAGAATTCCGTTCACCCAAGCTACGAGAACAGATTTTCAATACTTTGCCAACAGAGTGCTCTCAGTTCCTTCCTGTATTGATTATTTCGCCAACTCTCTGACCTCGTCGGGGACAAGCTCCGATGCTAGGCATGCGGTTGTGCGATATTGTATGAGTTCGATCATTTTGTACGGAGGGTAAGCTCCGCACCTGGTCTTTGGACAGGGTGCTCTCAGTTCCTTCATGTAATGGTTATAGTGCTCAGTCCCTGACGTTGCTAGATGTCGTATGCTACGATGCTGTAATTTTTTTCGGCGGCACGTGTTCCCTTGACCTGAGTTATTCTCTTTCTTCTGTAGTCGCCTCATACTCGGTGTCCCCATTCTAAGTCTCACTTATCATTCGTTTCGTCTTTAGTTTCTTATTACAGCGTTGGATTATATTTAGTTTTTTTTCATTTCCCCTTTATTTTTCGCTTGATAGACAACTAGAGGACAGTTTCTTTCTTATGTTTTTATTTCATTTCATTCGATAGAGCTCTGCTTGCTATACAAAACTTTCTTCGTCGTTAGAACTTTTTGTCTGTTTTTATTTCCATCAGATGTTCAATCAAATGCACTCTTCAAAACTGTAATCCTTAAGCTTCTTGTGCTACAGCAGTTTTCATGCAGGTTACAGGAACCTCGAGACTCGTTAAATTGGTGTTGCTGAGCCACAATCCGTTGACGATTTATATAATATAATGCCTAACAATCTACCTTTTCTTTGACCCCTGTTCCCCCGCTGCGTGTTCTACCTATGGTCATATGACTGATCAACGATCATGCCTTAATTTGCAATCTGAAATTGCTTCCCATGTCTGCACAGTTCTCTTTTCTACCTTTGTGATTTTAGTTTATGTTCTTGGGGACTCGCTTCGCCCTCTTCTAGCATTTACCTATGGAGTTCATCTCGAATGCAAAAGAGTACGCAATTTTCAGATTTCTGTCTCCGAATTTTGGACCTCTGTTCTCCCTTCATCTCCTGGACTCTACTGTCTCAACTTCCGCGATTTTAAAGCTAAACTCTTTGTATTTAGTGTATTCATTGAATTTTGATGGGTAGGTACTGCTAATTCAATCACTTAGCTGGATAACGATTAGGGTCCTCAACCAACTCCTTTATTTCTTACGAGAACCTAACCGCTAGGCAGCCGGTGAAGCGAATCGACGGTCCATTTACTTTCCATCATTTACCCACTCAGACGCCAAATACAATGATACCCTCAACTAGGAATACCAGAGGATGACTTTGTCTGTTCTTTAATTTTCGAAACATGATAAGATCTTTTGGCCTGACAAACGTCATCCTGTATAGCTCGGTAGGCCTCAAGTGCATAAGCCACATAATCACATCTTAAGGTGCAGTCTCTTTGTGATGAACACCTCAAAACGGGTCCCTACCCTATCCCTCTTGCGCATTCGTAGCTGCTCTGTGTTTTCAGTTTGGCAGCGATCAGTGGAGTTCTGTTCACTGTATTTCGCTGTACTATGATGGTAAATAACCTGTTTTTTACCTAAAACATCCCACATAGGCCTTTCCGGTATTTCCTTTGATTGTGATACTCCTTTTGCAATGAATCACTTTTCGTAAGAAAGCTTTCATGAAACTCTAGGGTCAAAAGATTATGCAGTGGCAACCGAGGTTTTGGTAAGTGCAAGCTTCTTTCAGATCACTGTCCATTTCAAGTTAATAAAAACTTCAATCAAATCGAGTACATCGCACCAGGTTACTTCTCACCGTTTGGTGTTGCCATTGAGAAGCACCTGCATATAATGTTTTTACGAACTGGTTCGTTCGAACTTTGTTTTCAACGTAAACGAAGATCATATCAACCATGCGTCCGTTTAATTCATCTGTTTGCAAAAGCTTACAATAATATCAGAGATTATTATTAGGTGGGATAGGACTCATAGCATGCTTAGTATTTTAATTGATTGCGTTTACATTACATTTATTATTACAGTAACGAGGTCTGTCACAAAATCCTAAGGTTTATTTTAAATAAGCTCATGCTATAATCAGATTTTAATTATGCACTTGAGAATGCTGATTTAACTTGAGTGGAAGAATGTCCTATTGCCTTGCCAGATTTTCGAAAAGAATAAGTAAAAGTCATATTCACGTTATCCATGGATAAACACCTGATATGGGTGAATAGCTATTTAAGTTACATTAGAATAAAACTGTTTCTGAATCCCAGATTTCAGTTTCCTGGTTCCGCCTCTTGCGACATACATTGTTACATAGTAATGGCATATGTTCGCTCGATCTCCCAATTTCTCCTGTCGAGCTTATGCATCTTCCTGTTCGATTCACTAGGTTGGACAAAAGATAGAAATTCGACCCGGTCTGGTATCAAAAGAAGCTGAGGGTGGTCGCGTCACATGCCGCCCCATAATTTCGTGTATTGTTTCACTGTTCGCAGAACAGAATGACCTAGCCTACGCCGTCCCCGGAGGTCTTATAGGTGTAGGCACAAAAATTGATCCTCAGTTGTGCCGCGCTGATCGGTTAGTTGGACACGTTCTTGGTGAAGTTGGCACCCTCCCTGATATTTATATCGAGTTGGAGATATCGTTTTTCCTGCTTCGTCGCCTCCTAGGAGTACGAACTGAAGGTGATCGCAAGGGAGCCAAGGTGAGTCGAGCGTTGATTCGCAACTAATTATGAATAACAATGTTTGCCTACTTATACATTTCGTCAGTAGTGCAAATTATTCATCGATTTTTCGTGATCTTGATTCGTTTGGGTTTCACATCGTAGTCGTTATACCAGACACGAGTGGCTAGCGGGTAATTTATAGCATTTTCTTGGATAGAGGGTATTTTCGCATTGCGCTGTTAGGAATGATCCGCCTAATGATTACCGTCTTTGATGGGTGAATGAAATTCATTCTTGGCGTTCGGATAAAGCACAGACTCTTGATAAGTATGTAAGAATATTTCATGCTTTCAGTTTGCGTTTTGTATCTTCACTAAGGAAACTTATTTTGAGGTTTCAATGTAAAAAAAAACACATATCTATCTATCTGTGAGATGGGTTTTGTTTTAGGGTCAAGTAACTCTCATTGAGTGTTCTAAGAGAAATACCAAAAGTAGTCAGTATTCGCCAATGCGATTCGCGTATTGAGTGTACAAATCTGTGCCGAGGCTGTTGAGCGTATCTTGCTTCAGTTATCTAGGATGACAACGGGTCACACCGGCTACAAAACTGGAGATGCTAAACCCTCAGTTTCATTACAGCTTCACAGGCTGAACAACCGAGTTAATAAAAATAACATATATTATAGTGCACTAGTTCCTAGATCGTATTGACCAGAATACTTACCTTTGGATAGAGTTCAGAGTTGTCATTTAGCGAGGTAAAATATAAGTTATTAAACTGATGAAATCACCATTGGCCTCCAACTACGTTCAATCTGTGTATTTTCCTCATAGAAAATAGAGAACTCTCTCATTCTCTTGGACCATGGACTAATGCAGCGTTTGTGATGCTTTTTGAAAGTTTACTTGGCATGTTCTTTAATTTAATTGGCATTCAAAAGTTCTGACTTGACGTTTGAGATGTTCTGGAGAAATAATGTGTAATCTGCCATTGTTTTGCTACCGTCAATGTCATCAACCGCTTGGCGAATGTAACTCTCGTGCAATGGATCCTACCTCACCTAATTGCAAAACACTTTTGCACATATATCGGAACGTGTTCTCACGTCACCAGTCAAATGCATTAGAACTATCACATAGATAACTTGTGTAATCTCGCCAGTGATGTTTTATTAACCCCAACATTAGCACTGCTTCTCCAAGCTGAAGTTTTTGCCCTATAATAGTCATATGTGTACACATTTGTAAGTGTACCGGCTAAGCAGTATCTTCGAAGAGCGAGGTAGTCAGATTTTGAACGGTTCAAACCAATGTCCCCATTTATAACAACTGAAGATAGAGTATGTAATTAAGAACTGCAGACCCCACTATGGCTTGATTCGTAAATAAAAACCAGAAGAGATCCACGTGGTTTTTTCCGTTTTTAGCCCTTTAGATCATAACTGTTTTGATCTGAACTATCACCCTTCACCTTGATTGCACAAATTCTGTCAGCCAATGCCAGTCCTCCATCTGAAATGGAGGTTTCCCTGCAAGTAAGCTATCTCAAAAGCTATAAGACCTCCCGCTCAGACGGGCTGTCCCCATCGGTTTTTAAGAATGGAGGTTCAGCCTTGGTTTTGGAGTTAACAAAACTCCTGGGCTCTGTGTGGGAGAGGGAACAGGTTCCAGCTGAATGGTGTGGATCGGTCATCATACCAATTTACAAGAAAGGCGACAGGTCCTCCTGTGAAAACCACAGAGGAATCAGTTTAATCAACGTTGCTTCTAAACTTCTCGCTGGCATCATACTCCGCCGATTGTCTGCCGCACGCGAACAGTGCACGCGTGAGAACCAGGCTNCCCGGTCGAGGTTGTATCGACCACATCTTCAATCTCCGCCAAATTCTGGAGCACCGGCATTCTTTTCGTAGACCCACCATCTCTGTCTTCCTATTTCTCAAAGCGGCTTTCGACTCAGTCGACCGCTCTAAACTCTGGCGCTGCCTTGGCCTGAAGGGTGTGCCTGAGAAGTCAATTTCAATA